TTCGAACTTGTCCTGCTTCTCGCGCTGCGCGCTGTTAAAAATGCGGTTCCTTCCCAAAGCGTTTCTCATTCCACGTTCGCTCGTATCGCGCAAGTCCAGCTTTGCTGCCTTTCGTTATTATCGCAAGTTTCAAACGCACGTTCCCCGCTTTATCAGGGTTCGACTTTCTTGTTTTTCGCACCTGTTAGCGTTTCTCAACTTGTTGCGCTGTGTTGCTTCGTACTTCTCGCACCTTTCGTCCTTCTCACACTTTTTTGTACATTTTCGCACTGTTCTGCTTTTCTATTTTTCGCGCTTTTCTACTTTTCGCACGTTCGCACTTTTCGCGCTTTTCTACTTTTCACACTTTTCTACTTTTCGCGCTTCTCGAACTTTTCGCACTTTTCGCACTTTTCGCGCTTTTTTCTACGTTTCGCAGTTTTCGCACTTTTCACACTTTTCGCAACTTTTCGCACTTTTCTACTTTTCTACTTTTCGCACTTTTCGCACTTTTCGCACTTTTCTACTTTTCGCACTTTTCGCGTTCGCCACCGGATGTTTGAGACGCTTAGATCGCCGGCTTAGCCATACAGTTCCCCCCCATTGCGGCACACCCCTCACACGTTTCGTGGCCCCATAGGGAGCTCCACCGAAGGCCCCAGCGGCAGCGCAGCGACCGCATGCAGTTCCACCCTCCCTTTTGGCATACCCCTCACACTTTCCGTGGCCCTCCTGGGAACTCCACCGAAGGCCGCAGTGGCAGCGCCCGCATGCAGTTGCACCCCAATTTCCGTGCACCTCTCGCACGTTTTTTGGCCCCATACGGGGCTCCACCGAAGGCCCCAGTGGCAGCGCCCGCATGCAGTTCCAATCTCCCTCTCGGCACACTCCTCACACGTTTCGTGGCTTTATAGGGAGCTCCACCGAAAGCCTCAGTGGCAGCGCCCGCATGCAGTTCCACCCTCGCGGGCCCATAGGGAGCTCCACCCAAGGCCCCAGTGGCAGCGCCCGCATGCAGTTCCATCTCTATTTCGGTGCATCCTTCAAACGATTCATGACCCCATAGGGAGCTCCACCGAAGGCCCCAGTGGCAACGCCCGCATGCAGTTCCACCTTCCATTTCGGCGACCCCCTCACACGTTCTGTGACCCGATAGGGCTATGCCATAGGGAACTCCACCTGAGGCTCCAAGGGCAGCGTCCGCATGCGGGCCCACCCGCCATTTCGGAACACCTCTCACGCGTTTCGTGGCCTCATAGGAGCTCCACCGAAGGCCCCATTTGCCCCTGTTGCTGGCCCCGCTCCTTCATTCCATTCCCCCCCGATGCTCGAAGGCCCCAGTGGCAACGCCCGCATGGTGGCCCCGCCAGATCTCGGCACACCATCACGCGCTTCGTGGCCGTATAGGGAGATCCACCGAAGACGATACTCACAACGATGGTATTCACAACTGCATATGGTTGGGCCTTTCGCGAGTCTATTTGTCTTGCTTGTTTTTGGTGTTTCAGCAGATTTCAGCCTTCTCGCCTTTCCAGCGTTCCGATACCTCCAGACGGCCCCGGAGTGTTCCAAGGTGGCCCTAAGATTGCCGAAGCGGTCCCTGAGATGAGCCCAATAAAACTGAAGAGAGCCCCAAGATGGTACTAGACGCCTGCCGGACGACCCCAAGACAGCCCCACAAGGCCCCAAGTTGGCCGCAGAGACCTCCAGGATCGCCCAAGAGGGCCCGAACAGAGTCCCAAGACGGTTTGCAGAGGCCTCCCGGACGGCCACGGAAACGCGCCAACCGGCCCCAGAACTCCCCAGTGCAGCCTAACAGAGGCTTGAGAGGAGTCTCCGAGGGCCCTCCCGGGCCCCCTTTTGGTTTGAAGCATCTCCGGGGCCTCAGTGAGCAATGCGCACGACGACCTTGTCGTACACCACCGAGGCGAAATATCCCAAGAACCAGAGCGAGACACCACGATAAAAACCGTACGCCTACAGAAGACACTCGGGATGAAACTGCACAGAAACCTTCGGAGCCGCATATGGTGAGCGATAGCCGGGAAGCGCTCAAGGAGCAAGTCATGCGATACCAGAGCATACCCAGCAATAACACCGCGGAGGAAGATCCAGAGTTTGCCCGAACACCCACGTGCAAGAGGCGCACCAGCCCTACCACATCTCGAACGCCCGGATGCCGAAGCCGTGCCAGTGCAACGCCAAGCGAAGCGCCACGATGCATATGACAGGAGCCTGCCGGAGGAAGCGCAGCAGGAGGCGGCCCTCCCCAGGGGTCGGGGTGCGGACCCCCACGGGCGCCCACGCCGCCTCGGGAGGCGGCCCGACACCATCCACGAGCTCCGGCGGCCGCGGCAGCAGGACGACGACGACGCTGCGGCGCGACAGGCCCTGCAGCATGCCTGCAGCCCACCACGCTGTCCGGGCGCCCCCCAGCGGGAGCGCGAGATCCTCGCGAAGATGGGCGGGGCCACCGCGGGCCCCGCCGCCGTCAGCAGCGCCACGCCCAGCGTCAGCGGCCCCGGCCTCGACCACGGAGTGGCGGCGGCGCTCGGCCAGCGCCTGCACGAGGACCGTCGCCTCGGGCAGGTCGACGGGGGCCCCAGCGGCACGCTGGGACAAGCACGCAGCCGCAGGCGCAGTTGCTCCCGGCCTCGCAGGCTGCGGGGCTCGGGATGACCTCGACCGCCTCGGTGCGTCAGGGGAGAGGCCTGGCCGGCACAGGACGAGGACCCGCGCCTCGCCTTCGGCCTGGCACCGTGAGCCGCACGCCGAGGCGGGGCAGCCGAAGCGCGCTCCGCGCCGACTGCACCGGAGTGCAGCGCAGCGCTCCTGCGGACCACGTCGAGCCATTGCGGCTCCTCCCCGTTGACGAGGGCCAGGACAGCTGGGACCACCGCGCTCCGAACGTGCATCGCCCTGCGAAGCGAGATGAATCCCGAAGACCCTCTCTCTCTCTCTGTCTGTCTCCCCCCCTTCCCTCGCTGACACAGGTGGAAAGGCCAAAGTCCAATCGGACAATGCGGGAACCCACGGACACCTCGGGAATCGACCCGGTGGCCCCGGCCGATTTTTCAAAGATCGTTCGAAGGAATTTGGGGTGACCCCCAGCGAGGTCCACGTGGCCCTCAAAGAGATGCAGTCTTTGTTGGATCCAGGGGTTCGGGAACCCGCCATATGAAGACTCTGCTGTGGGCCAACGCTCCCTCTCTCCCTTCTAAAGGACTTGCGATTGACCTCAGCGAGGCCCCTCAAAGAGATACCATCGTTTTTGGGATCCAGGGATGCCAGAGTCCGCTATAAGATGCATTTTGATCCCAACCATCCTGTGGCGTTGGATCCTCGTTTTGAAGAGACAGCGCCCCGCGTCACTCCTCCTCTCCTCCTCCCCTTCCTCCTCCCATCCCATCCCTGCCTTTACCATCCGAGTACCACTATTTCGGCACACCCATCACACGTTTCGTGGCCTTATAGGGAGCTCCACCGAAGGCGCAAATGACAGCGCCCGCATGGGGTTCCACCCCTACTTCGGTGCACCCCTTACACGCTTCGTGGCCCCATATGGGGGCTCCACCGAAGGCCCCAGTGGCAGCGCCCGCATGCAGTTACACCCACAATTTCGGCACCTCTCACACGTTTCGTGGCCCCATAGGGAGCTCCGCTGAAGGCCCCAGTGGCAGCGCCCGCATGCGGTTCCACCTGCAATTTCGGTGCACCCCTCACACGTTTCGTGGCCCCATACATAGGGAGCTCCACCGAAGGCCCCAGTGGCAGCGCCCGCATGCGGTTCCATCCACCATTGCGGTGCACCCCTCACGTGTTTCGTGGCCCCAGAGGGAGCTCCACCGAAGGCTCCAGTGGCATCGCCCGCATGCGCTTCCACCTACATGTCTGTGCGCCTCTCACACGTTTCGTGGCCCCATATGGAGCTCCACCGACTACACCCTTCACATGTTTCGTGGCCCCAGAGGGAGCTCCACCGAAGGCTCCAGTGGCAGCGCCCGCATACAGTTCCAATCTCCCTTTCGGCACACTCCTCACACGCTACGTGGCCCCATGTGGAGCTCTACCGAAGGCCCCAGTGGCAGCGCCCGCACGCGGTTCCATGCACCCTTCGGTGCACCTCTCACACGTTCCTTGGCCCCATAGGGAGCTCCACCGACGGCCCCAGTGGCAGTGCCCGCATGCGGTTCCACCTATATTTCGGCGAACCCCTCACGCGTTTCGTGGTCCCAGAGAGAGCTCCATCGACGGCCCCAGTGGCAGCGCCTGCATACAGTTCCACTCCCGTGTTGGCACGCCCCTCACGTTTGTCGCGGCCCCACAGGGGGCTCTACCGAAAGCCCCAGTGGCAGCGCCCGCATGTGGTTCCACCCTTCGGTGCACACTCCTCACACGCTTCGTGGCCCTGCAGGTAGCTCCTCCATTTCGGTGCACCCCTCACGCGGTTCGTGGCCTCATAGGGAGCACCACCGAGGGCGCCACCAGCAGCGCCCGCGTGCAGTTCCATCCTCCATCTCGATGAACCCCTCACGCGTTTCGTGGCCCCATCGACCCCCTCTCGCCCTCGCGCGACTCTCCTGGCTGGGCGACGTCGTGCGGGGGCGAGGACGGGCACGTGACAATGGCGGGGGATGGGGGGCTAGGGGGGATCTCAGTAGGGTGGGTTTGGGGAGAAGGGTGTAGGGGGTGATTAGGGAAGGGAATGTCACGCAGTAAAGCAGGGCATTCCCAGCCAAGCAGAAGATGAAGAAGAAGAATGACGAAGACGAAGAAAGATAGAAGTAAGAAAGAAGAAGAAGAAGAAGAAACAAAGATAGAAGAAAAAGACGAAGAAACGAAGAAGAAGAAAGCGACAGGAGAAAGCAGAAGACGAGCAGGGAAGACGACGAAAGCAAAAAGAAGAAGAAGAAGAGAAGACGCCGAAAAACGAACTACGCAGAAGACGCCTGCAGCCGAAGACGACAGAAGAAAAAGCAAGACAAACAGACAAAAACACGAAGAGAAGGAAGAGAAAAGAAGAAGAAGAAGTACGAAAGAACGAAGGAAGCGAGAGGCCGAAGAAAGAAAACAGCACCAGCAATAAGACGCCACCACGACCTGCGCGACAGCGCCCGACCCAGAAGACTTCATCCCTCCTTCCGCCGCCTCCTCCTACCTCCTCCTCCTCCTCCTCACTTACTCTCCTTCCGCCATCCTTTCCCCTCCTCCCTCCTTCTCCTCCCCCTCCTCCCCTACCTCCTCCTCCTCCTCCTCACCCTCCTCACTTCCCACCTCCCCCTAACTCCTTCCCTCCCCTCCTCCCTCCTCCTCCTCCTCCTCCTCCTCCTCCTCCTCCGCCTCGGCAGGCGCTCCCGTGCCCGCTCCAAGCCGCCGGGCGCGCGCGAGGCCGGGGCCCGGGTGGCCGCGGAGCCGCTCGGGTGCAGCGCGATGCGAGCCAGGGGCTGCCGCTCGCGCGAGGCCAGCGGAGGCCACACGTCGTGGAGGACGATCAATGGAGAGGAAGCATGCTGCCAAATAATTCCCAGGTGTCTAAGACATGAGTTAAACATGCTTTCAACATGTAAAACATGTTTGAAACATTTTTAGAACATGTTTTACGCATCTTAAACACATGTTTGATTCCCTGATAGGATTGCTAGATTGGCCATTGTCATGGCATCCACAAGCCACACGCGCACACGCAGACGTTGGCTGCTCCGGGGCCAGCAGCTGTCGTCGCGTCTTCCTTCGGCTTCTCCTCCTTCCGGTCGAGGGGGGGGCCCGAGGGGGCCCGAGGGTGGGGGGGGGGGGGGCGACGGGAGCCCTGCCCAGAGCCCGCCTGGGGTCCTGCGGTGGCGCCTGGCCTAGATTGTGCCGCCCATTTGTTGTTTTTTTCCGCGGAGCGACGGCGCCTGCGGGGGGAAAAAAACACACGCGCAAAAAAAAAACAAAAAAACAAACAACAAAACAAAACAAAACACACAAACAAAAACAACAAACACAACAAACAACAAACAACAACAACAAAACAAAATACAGACAAACAACATAAAAAAAACAAGCACAAAACAACACACAAAAACACAACAAACACACAACACAACAAAAAACACAGGTCTCCCACTGTCTCGGTCTGGAGCCTCGGAGCCCAGGGCAGCCCCGCGGCGGCTGCGGGTGCATACTTGCCACGTGCCTGTTGACTTTTTGGCCTGGCCCTCCTGCAAGGCCATCGGGCGCTCGGCACGACGGGCCAAGAGCTGGGCGTCTGGACGGGCGCAGGGCCCGTGGACGCCCACCGGCGAGTTGTGCCGACCAAGTTCCGCTGAGCCCTTCGGGCACGCAGCCGCGCTGCCCGCGCACGGCGCGCAGTCGGCGTCCTGCCCCGCCTCGCCTCCTGCAGACGCCGCCCGGCGTCCCGCAGGACACAGACGGTCACGACGCCAGTCACATCCCTGCGGCCACCTGCAGGCGGGCCTGGGGGTAGTGTGCGATGGGGCGCGGCGGTGCGAGAGCATCTCCTGGGCTGTGGTCGCCGTGTGGTGCCCCATGTGTTCGGCATGCTCGGAACGCAGCCTTTCGGGAGCAGCCGGCAGCTCGATTCGCCCCCCTTTCCCCCCCCCCCCCAGCGAAATTATGCGCACGTGGGCCGCGCAACAGAGAACGGGGTCGTTTTCGCCGACACTGGCGCGCAAACTGCCCGCGCATGCTCGTGCGTGAGCGCCCTCGTCTCCACGTTGTGGCGTGCCGCGCCGGCGGCCCGCGCAGGCCGCCGCGTCAGGTCGCTGTGCCATCTCGCGTGAGGCTCGTGTTTGCTCGTCGCTCACGTGTTCCCCTCTGCTTGGCATCGCTCGGACGTGTGCATCTTCCCCCCCCCCCCTCACGGCGGTCAGCTTGGGCAGAGCGCTTCCGATGTGGGCGTGGCTAGCTCGCGAAAGCGCTCCCGAGTCGCGGAGTCGCCGCGTCCTGTCTCAGGCGGAAGGGGTGGACTGAAGCGGCAGCCGCACATCCGAGCATTACCTGCTGCCCCTGTCAGGCACCTTTTGGGCGCATGGCGGCGGTGTCGTTGGCGGCTTCTGAGAGTCCGTCTTACGGTACGGGCTGGTATCTCTCAGTTCGAAGTGCAAGTCTTGACGTTCGCGTATCCCCACCAGCCCATCCCAAATCAGCAACTTTTGCGAAGCGTACCGGCAGTCGTGGTTTTCGCGCGTACTTCCTCCTGCCTTCGCCTATCCCCTCTTGTTCCTCCTAATTCCTACTTGCTTCCTTTTACTTCCTCCTTGTGGGAGGAGTGGGAGGAAGACGGGGCGGAGGAGGAGAAGGAGAAGGAGGAGGAGGAGGAGGAGGAGGAGGAGGAGGAGGAGAAGGGCGAGAAGGCAGTGGGATGAGAGAAGAAGAGAGCGACGACGACGACGACGACGACGGCGATGACCACGACAATGACGACGCACCCAACGACGACGACGAAGACGACGACCACGAAGACGACGCCGATGATGACGACGAAGGAGGAGGATGAAGGGGAGGACGAGGAGGAGGAGGATGAGGAAAACAGTAGGCGAACATAATAACCATACGCCATTTGAATGCCTCTCGGAGTCTCCTGTCTCTTGGAAGTGCAACGGAGGAGGAGGAGGAGGAGGAGGAGGAGGAGGAAGAGGACGAGGAGGAGGAGGAGGAGGAGGCGGATAAGGAGGCGGGGGAGAGTGAGGAGTGAGGAGGGAGGAGGGAGGCGGGAGGAGGGAGGAGGGAGGAGGGAGGGAGGAGCGAGAGAGGGCGGAGGAAGAGGGAGCAGGGGGAGGAGGAGGAGGGAGGAGGGAGGAGGGGGATAGGGATGAGGGAGGGCGGGAGGCTCGCTCGCTCGCTCAACCGTCGGTTATCGGTCACTGCCGCACTCGTCAAGGAGGAGGGAGGAGGGAGGAGGGAGGGAGGGGGAAGGAGGGTGGAAGGTGGATGGGAGTGAGGGAGGGGGGCCGGCGCGATTTGAGGGAGGAGGGAGGGAGGGAGGAGGGAGGAGGAGGAGGGAGGACGGAGGAGGGAGGGAGGGAGGGAGGAGGGAGGAGGGAGGGAGGGAGGAGGGAGGAGGGAGGAGGGAGGGAGGAGGGAGGGGAAGGGAGGGAGGCGGGAGGGAGGGAGGCGTGGAGGAGGGGAGGAGAGGAGGAGGGAGGAGGAGGATGGGGTGAAGAGGAGGAGGAGGAGGGAGGAGGAGAGGAGGGCAGGAGGGAGGGAGGAGGAGGAGGAGGAGGAGGAGGAGGAGGAGGAGGACAGCATGAGGATCAGAAGAGCCTCCTCGTTTGCCTCTTGTTTTTTTGTCGCCTCTTGGAGCGTCTGGGGGGCATCTTGGGTGCTCGGAGATCCTCTTGAAGCCTCTTGGGGGCCTCTTAGGAGCCTCTTGGGGGCCTCTTGGGCGCCTCTTGGGGCCGTCTGGGCGCCTCGTGGGGCCCTCTCGGGGCGCTCTTGGGAGCCTTGGGGACGCTCTTGGAGCCATCTTGGAGGACATCGATCAACAAAAAGAGGGGTTCCCCCAAGTAGGGTTGCCCCTCGGGAGCCCCAACAATGGTCTCTTGGGGCGCTCTTGGAGCACTCTTGGGCGCTCTTGGGGCCGTCTTGGGGCTCTCTTGGGCCTCTCTTGGGGCCCTCTTGGGCCGTCTTGGAGCCATCTTGAGGCCTGGGAAGGCTATCGAAAGCGAACGAGCGACAATGCAAACATCATTGATTTTCCTTTATGTGTTTGAAGGATTTTGGCTTCGTGTAGGCCTCCTTGACGGTCTCGCAGACCTCTTGGAGCCGTCTTGGAGCGGTCTTGGGGCCTTTTGGGGCCTCTTGGAGCCATCTTGAGGCATCTTAGGCTATCTTGAGCCATCTTGGAGCTCATCTTGGGCTCTCCGAGGCGCTCTTGGAGCCGTCTTGGGCCATCTTGAGCGCTCCAACTACCAGCGACCCCCCCCGTCCAGGTCCAGGGTAGGGGGTAGGGGGAAGGTAAACCCCTCGCCGAAGAGGAAGGAGGGGGTTGGAAGAGGAGCCTCCCTAGACCACCTACGCCCAGAGGGCTGGTGGGATTCGGACTTTGGTCGCCCCTGGCAGGGCTCTGGTACGCTGGCCGATTCCAGGATCCTGGCGGGATAGCACGTTTCCCAGTCGAATTTGGATTGGAGATCGACCTGACTCGAGGTGCCCATGACTTTGGGGTCAACACGTATGAGGCATTGCAATTTCTTATTTCGTGAGCTTTGCACTGTAACGCTCCCAGAGGATCTGTGAGGCTCTGGCTTCCTTCCACGTCGGCGTGTTCTGTTTCGGGCATGTTTAGTTTCAGCATCAGTTGATCGGAAACTGGAACATGTACATCACCAGTGGCGGGCTGTTTTCAATCCCAGGACTTCTTGAGGGTTGTGGACGAGCGGGAGGCTGTTGGCGAGGCCCTGCGCCAGCGGCAGGCTGAGGGCAGCCTCCCCCTCCAAGACAGGATGTAGACGACGCCCAGGTGGCCGGGGGTGCGGCGGCCGCTACCCGCGAGGGCAAAGCGGCTGCCGAGGCGCGGTGGGCACCCACCGCCGGTGCCGCCCACCCCCACCGTGGCCGGCGGCCCTCGGCCCGACCTGGGCGGACCGCCGGCGGGCCGCGCCTGCGAGGTCAGGTGCGCGGAAAAATATGCAAAACGTATTCTGGAAGAAGCTCCCCGGAGGGGCGAAAGACGATGCAAATGGAATTCTGGAAGAGAGCCCCCGGAGGAGCGGCATGCCTGAATTCTGGAAGAGGGGCTGTCACGATTCAGTCACGAAGAGAGCCCGGATGGTGCCATGACACGAGGAAATGCAAAAAACAAAACGTCAAATTCGGCGTGCAGCGTGCGACCAGGAATCAGCTCAGAAATTGCCCTGCTGGCGGCGCAAGGCGTCCCAGAGATCCCTCTCCTGCTGGCTGACTGCGGCCCGGGAGGTCTGGAACTCAACGCCGCCACCCTTCGTGTCGACCATGGCGGCCAGGCACGCGCGAACCCCGTCTGTGGCCGAGGCGTGCACGTAGAGGTTCCACACCCACTTCCGACCGTCCCGGGGCTTCGGGTACTTCACGCGCGAACCCCGTCTGTGGCCGAGGCGTGCACGTAGAGGTTCCACACCCACTTCCGACCGTCCCGGGGCTTCGGGTACTTCGGGCGGCAGTCACTGAAGCACGCGGCCAGCTCGGCCACCGGCTTGGCGAGGATGCTCTCGGCGGCCGCGACCGCCGGGGTGCCGCCCTGCCACGCCAGCGTGCACTTCTGGAGAAGCAGGACCAGGCAGTACACCACGAGAGGCATGCCGAAGGGATGCGGCGGCCTCGGGCCACCGCCCCGCGGAGCCGGAGGGTTCTCCTCGAACCACCGCTCCTTTCGGTCAAGAATGTCATTCTTGATGCCATCCTCCTCGAGCAGAAACACGAAGGACGTGGCATCGTGAGCCCGCCGGGCCTGCACAGCGACCGTGGTCAGGGTGAAGCGGAGCAGGCCGTTGACCAGGTCGCCGCCGCCGCCGCCCTTGCCGCCGCCGCCCCCCCGGCCCTTGCCACCGCCGCCCTTCGCGCCCCCACCGCGCCGGCCCCCCGGGGGAGCCGCGGCCCGCGGTTGCCGCTGCTGGAGCAGAGCGCCGGCGCCCAGGCCGCCACCCGCAGCCGCAGGTGCCGGTGGCGGCTGCTGCTGCTGCTGCTGTTGCTGCGGCTGCTGCTGCTGCGGCGGAGCAGCACCCCCACCGGCAGGCGCCACCATCTGCTGCTGAGGCGGAGCACCACCGACTGCTGCTGAGGCGGCGGCGCCGGCCCCCCCGCGCTGCTGCCTCCTCGCGCTGTGGCTGCGGCGGCCCTCCTCGCCAGCGCCGCCGGCAGGGGGCTCGGGGCGGCCTTCGGGCTCGGGGCGGCCGGGGCGCCCGCGCGCGGCCGCCTGCTCGGCCCGGGCAAGTGCCTCTGCGGCGGAGCCGGCGTTGGCCGCCATGGGAGGCGGGCGCGGGGCAGGCGGCGGGGGGGGGGCGGGCCCCCGGTCAAAGATGCTGTGGTAGCTGCAACACGGCGTCGGCGCACCGCGTGCAGCGAGAACAGATAGCACATCCATGGGCTCCAAAACAACGACGAGCGACGCATTGTGGGCACTTCTTGCAAGCCTGGCAAGGGGGGCAGGCGGCGGCAGCCACAGCGGCAGGACAGACAGCACGAGGATGAGTGGCAAGATGAGCTTCCCAACGCTGGCGATGTGCAGCGACAGCAGCAAGGTGGGCACGCGCTTCCTCCCTCTTGCGCTCGGCCCGGCTGATGACGACAAGCGGCGGGACGACGTGGAGTGACCCCGTGTTCAAAGGTAGGCCCCATCGGCTGCGACGCTCGGCACACTTGCGCTCGTGGACGGTGCAGCCCCGCAGCTCCCAGAACACCGTCTGACAGTGCCGGCACCGGGGCCCATCCTGTGGGGCGTCGCGATGCTCGTATCTGACCCCCTGGAGCCA